CAGGGGCCCTTTCGGATTAGCGTTGCTGAACAATTGCAATTAGTCTGTCTTAAACTCTGTGGCAGAACAGCTGATTGGATGACTGTGGAGCTCAATGAGACTCTTTTTTTTCTGTCAAAACTCTATTGAGGGGGATTTTGTCTCTTCTTCATCGTGTTGCTCAGCACCTGATGTTAGTGTGTTTGTTTTCTTTTACAGAGTTCCATACTTCACAACTCCCAGTTTTGCCTGGTTTCTGTCTATTGCTTGCAGTTATACCTTTCCCATGCTACCCACCCCACTTCATTCTGCAAACACACACTGGATGCCTCTTTTCGGAGTCCTGCAGACAGAGGAAAGTTCACCATCCTCCTCTCCCCCCACCAAGGGCGATGTTCATGGGGCATTATTCTCCTTAGGCAGCGTCCTTTACCCTTCACAGGCGTTTAGAGCTAAGGCGTTATTTATATTACCCAGATAAGGAATGGTGTACAAAGGTTTCTTTTTTGTCTCTCTTACAATGATCTCTTTCCTGAGACTTCTAACTTAAAACGATTTTTCATTCAACTTCTTGTTTGTTAAATCTTTTGTCTATAACATGCAATGTATTTTAAAGAGATAATAATCACGAGAAATAGACTCACTTTAAAAGCTGTATTAAACCTTTAGACCAACGAACAAACTAACGAACCATCAAACACAATTACTGTGTGTTCATATGTTTGACACTTGACCTCTGCTGGATTATCCCCATCTTGTCTCTACCTTGGCAGAAATCCTCCACTAGAAATTGTTTCCTGCCTTTCCAGGCCCTTCAAAATCTTTAATTTTATTTGCTCTTTTATTTCAGTATGTAATCATTTCTAGACTTTCTTAAAGGGAAAAAGGGAAGGAATGCTGATAAATATTATTAATTCTTTATTCAATCTTCTGTCCTACCATTAGTCTTGCTTCATCAAATAGATGAAGTTTGACTCCCCTTTCTGCTCACTTCCTGTTTGTGCTGGCTGTCCATGTAACTTCTGGTTCCAGGGGTAGTGTTTTCTTAAAAAAATTATGGACTGAAAAGTACCATTTATCCATTCATTTATTTCATGTCAAGCATTCTGCTATCTTTGGCCACTAAGGAATGCAATGACAACTTAGATATTGTGTCAGTGTCTGGGAAGTTCAAATAAAGTGGAAAACCCATCATGTACATTTTGTAAGATAGAAGGGAAATGATAGTTGTAGTGAAAGAGGTAAAGGCTTTGGGATTTTATAGTTAGAAGGGGAAGCTCTTCCTCTGATCATGCATTTACTTATCTAACCATACATACATGATTGTACGTATATATAAAATATGTAGAAAATAGGAACTGGAGAGATGGCTCAGTGGGCAAAGTACTTATTTTGCAAGCATGAGGACCTGAGTCAGATTACCTGCACTCACATAAAAGTCAGATGTAGTGGCAAGCATCTGTAACACCAGCACTGCCAGTGGAGTCAGGGCTGGGGGCCTATGATCAGCTTAGTGGACATGGTGACCTCTAGGTTCAGTGAGAGATACTGCCTCAAAAACTAGAGTGGGGGCTGGAGAGAAGGCTCAACGGTTAAGAGCACTGACTGCTCTTGCTGAGGACCCAGGTTGTGTTCCCAGTACCCATGAAGCTGACAGGCATGTGTAACTCCACTTCCAGAGAATCTGATGCCCTCTTCTGGCCTCCACTGGCATTGCATGACACAAGTGCACTTTCATACATGCAGGCAAAACACTCATACACATAAAATAATAGATAAATAAATAAATTTAAATAATATAATGTATTTAAAAGCTGGAATGGAGAGTTAAATAGGAAATGAGCACTCCTCCACACACATATACGTGAGTAAACGCACACACATGCACACACCACTCATGCACCTCCCCCCACATAAATATAAAACACAGCTGAAAAGATTCCCACCAGCTTCACTACAGAGCTGTTAAGACTAGGACCCTGTGTGCCAACCTTGGATAGTCTATTTGGAAGTTGCTCTTCTCATATCGTAAAGGAGTTTATCTTTGCCTGAGCTTTGAGAGATGTCAGAAAGACAGGAGGAAAAAGAAATATTAAATGGGAAACCAAAAAATGGTTTAACAGAGGACACTGGGGTGGGAAATAATGACAGAGTTGTTGGAAAAGAAACTTGCTTCATATGCATTTTCTAGAAGAATTGTCAGATAGGGTATCAGTAGGTGCTTCTTGCCCATGCCCTATGCATATGGTCTCAGCTGGTTTGCCAGGTTAAAAGTGCGATATTGATTTCAGTCTTATGTGATTGATAAATCATGTACATAATAACACTTGGGAGATATTTACTAAGTGGAGGGGGTTTTCAGGAAAGTTTCTCTACTCATATTCATTTTAATCTTCTGAAATATCCAGCGTCTTGGGAGTCCACTGTGGAGGTGGCAGAATACCGTTTACCTCTGAGTTTCAATTTCCTCCTCCTTTGGGTCCAGAAAGTCAATGTGATAAGAGACTGACCAAGAGGCATGTCCTCTGGTCCTGAGCTTTCCATGGGAAGCAGATGCAGGCGATTTTGTTTGCACAGGTGTCATTGCTGCAGGTGCCAAATTCCAGATGAGACCGTTGTTCCTGAGAGATTCCTTTGAAGTTCTCCCTTGCACTGCACAGGGGCCTAGGGGAAGCCTCCATGCCCTTCATCTCTGCACAGGCAAAGGGGCTTCCCGCCAAAGACTGCACATGAAAGTGTTGTGGGCACCAAGTTTCTTCAAAATTCCCTATCACCATTCTCAAAATCTTGGCATTATCTCAAGAAGTAGGTTACTACGAAACGGCTTTCATTGTTTGTATAAGGTCCATGCATGCGCGCATTTAGATTCTTCTGAAAAGCTGCAGGATAATATTGGGAATATTTATTCATAGCTAACAAATTATTTTTAATTGTTTTGAATTTTTAAACATCTCTGAAAAGTTCTTTAGTTTACTTTTAATAATGGGCAATATTATTTAATATTTATAATTAATTTCTTCACTCATTTTGATCACTTGTAGCCAGGAAGAATTTTTATAGATTTATATACTGTTAAATCCCCCAGTGCATATCATATTTGTTACTGTGTTGTTCCTATTAGTTACATTTGACAAAAACATACTTGGATGTCTCACCTCTTTAACCTTTAGTCACTTTATCTCCCTCATCTTTCCTCTCATTCTTTCTCATATATTCAAACAATGTCTTTAAAACTTATTGTTCAGACAGTTTAGCCAACTAAAGCTAGTATATCTATTGTGAAACACTCCTGTTTTATGACACCACTTTATGTAGGTTGACTCCCAATTCTGTGTAAAGATTACATTTCATCTTCTGCTACGATGGAAACCTTTGCCTTACAGGAGTTCATATTTTTCAGGTGCAGATTGATCCTGAAGTCAGACATAAAATCAAGCTGCAGGCCTTACTGTATCCTGGTTTACAGGTAATTGACTCTTACGTGCCATCTCACCGAGAAAATGAACATGGCGTAGTTCTGACACGGGACATAGCCATAAAACTCGTGAGTTTGTTCTTCACTAAGGATGAAGCACTTCCCCGGGCGATGAGAAGAAACCAGCACATGCCTCTGGAGTCCAGACCTCTGTTTAAGTTTGTTAACTGGAGTACTCTTCTTCCTGACAAGTATAGAAAGAACCATGTTTACTCTGAACCAATGCTCGGAAGGTCTGCTTATTCACTGCCAGCGCTGATGGACAGCAGAGCATCACCGTTGTTGGCCAGTGATGCCCAGTTACAGAACTTGCCACTAACCTATGTTCTTACCTGTCAGTATGATCTCCTAAGAGATGATGGACTTATGTATGCTTCAAGACTCCAAAATCTTGGAGTTCAAGTTGCTCATGAACATGTTGAGGATGGAATCCATGGAGCATTATCATATATGACATCACCACTTAACTTACGTATAGGTCTGAGGATAAAAGATATGTATATTACTTGGCTAGATAAGAATTTATAAATAATGTTTATCCCTCAATGGAGTTTAATTTGTGATAAATTTTAGTTTTGAAAAGAACAGTATAATATACATGCTGTGTAGTTCCTTCTTTCTTGTACTGTTGTGATATGTTCCATTCCAGATGCTCAACTCTGGGCTTTGGTCCCTGTTTTGCTGAAATTTCTATCTAATGGGAAATGCACTAGAGAGAAGAAAAATCTCTCATCTGGCAGATGTGAACTTAAGGACATAGTATCATGAAGGTCTCTGGGAAGGAGCTTGGACTTAAGTAAGATTCCAGGCAGTTATAAGTAACTATGTATCTTTGAGGTGATCACTAAGTTTTCTGTCTTTTGAACTCTGTATATATAAAGTGTAAGTCTACTTTCCTCTTGCTTATAATTTATTATTGCTATGGTGTTCCAACAAAGGGTTATGTTGGTTAGTCAATGTGACATCAAGTCGAGTCACTTGGGAAGAGGGAACATCACTGGAAGAAGTTCCTCCATCAGACTGGCCTGTAGGCCTGGGCATAGGGGTATTTTCTTGATTGCTAATTGATATCAGAGGGCCCACCATACTGTGGGCGGTGCCATCTCTGGAAGGTGGGCCTTGGCTGAATAAGAAAAGTAGCTGAACATGCCACTAAACAATGTTCCTCCATGTCTCTGCTTTGGTTCCTGCCTCCAAGTTCCTGATTTGACTCCTGCCCTGGCTTCCCTCAATGAGGCTCTGTGACCTGTAACTCAGATAAAGACTTACCTCCCCAAATTCCTTTTGGTCATGGTATCTTATCACAGTGAAAAATAATTAAATAACTAGAACATAAATTGGTACTGAATGTGGGGTATTGCTGTGATGAACCTGACCACATAGCTTTATGCCTTGAAGCATTTGGGTGGAGGACGATGGAGGATTGTGGGACTTTGGGCTGGAATCTGTTGAGTGCTCAGAGCTTAATGCGCTATGATGGAAACTGGGATGATAATGCAAATGCAGATGATGGAGTTCTGACTTGCAAAGCTTCAGAGAGAAATTTGAGAGTCCCTCAAAGATATCAGAACTGCTCTTTGATATTTTTAATTAAAAATCTGTAGTTTCTGATCAGCAAGGGCAAGTAAATCACTTGTGATTAATGAGGAACAGTCAGCACTGAAGTAAAACCTTTGCTCTGCTGGGGCAATCAGTGGCGATTGGCTGGGCCTGAAAAATCAGCTGTGATTAAGAAGATACAAGCATCAATAAGGTGAAATCTTCTAGAAAGTACTTCTTCAAACCTGGGTCTTCTGAAGAACAGGCAGTACTCTTAACCTCTGAGCAGCTCTCTGGTCCCATATACATTTTTTAATATTATAAAGTTCAGTATCCATGGTACGCAATTCTATGTGTTTTGACACATTCATACTATCAGTTGAATTTCACCACATTCCAGCCACAGGATGACTTTCTGAACTCAAACACTTCTTCATCTTTTTCCTATTGAAACCCTCCCTTTCACCCCTGCCCTTGTACATTGCTGAACTATTTTCTCCATAAATTTACTATTCCTAGAATATTGTATGTGGAAACACACAGTATGTGCTCATCAAATGCCTTTTATTTTAAACCTTTTCTTCATTTTAAAAAATACTTTATTGCTTTTATTTTATATGCTTGGATATATGTAAGTGCACCCTTGTCATGCAATGCCTGCAAAGGTCCAAAGAGGGTGTCAGATCCCTTGAAACTAGAGCTACGGTGAGCTGCCACGTGAATGCTGGAAATCGAACCTAGGTCCTCTGCAAGAGCTTCCAGTGCTCTTAACTGCTGAGCTATTTCTCCAGACCTTTCTCTTCATTTCTATGTTATATTTCTTGTATGAAATTACCTGTATTATTTATACCTTTACACAGTAATTTTCATTCTTCCTGGTGTGCGTTCTGGACTAATATTCTTTGCAAAGTGGTGTGATTTGTTTGCTTATTTGTTAGAAGAATTTCTTCCTTTGAAAAATTTTGTTACAGCAGGGACTGGAGAGATGATTAGTGGTTAAGAGCATTGGCTGCTCTGGCAGAGGACCCGGGTTCAATTCCCAGCATTCACACAGTAGCTAACAGCTGGCAGTAACTCCGGTACCAGGGGAACCTGGCTCTCTCTTTGACCTCTGTGTCACTGTATGCACTTACATACATGTAGGCAATACACTGATAAACTTAAAAATAAATAAATAAATATATTTCAAAATTTTGGGACAGGGCATCTGTCTCTGTGTTGTCCAAGCTGGTCTTGAACTTCTCAACTCAAGTGATTTTCCTGCCACAGACTCCTGAGTGGCTGAGACCATGCACAATGTCTGTGTGTGTGTGTGTGTGTGTGTGTGTGTGTGTGTGCGTGTGTATTTACCTATCTATATTTTGTACTATTTGTGGTGTCTTATTTACTAATTTCTGGGTTCTATAGCTCTGGCTTATGCTTTTTTTCTAATCATAGGCC